TTGTGAGTCATTGTAATTAGAAGACACTTGATACTTTTTGAGGAGCACACTGTTCACACAAATTAATCCTAATCCTACCAAATAGGCCACTTTATGAATATACCTAGTAATAAATAGTCATTTGAAATGACTCCCAAGAAAGGCTAGTAGAGAAGACTAAAATTCAAATACAATGATGGCAAATTAGAAAAAAGAATTTAAGATTTTTCTCCGAGTCAATCAAACCAGGCTAACGTATTTAAAGGGAAAATGGCAAGTGGTGATTATTTAGTGCCTGAGAGCCTGAGGGAGGGTTTTGTTTGTACTCTCAACCAAAGAACTGAATGTTCCAAAATGTCACTGAAGAACAAAATGTCATATGGTGGAATTGATGGCTAATAAAATTAGAGCAAGAAACTATTGAAGAAACTATTACTTTGTGCCACATATAGCCAACTTGTGAAACCCACTGCCACAGGAGGTTATGGAGTTGAACACCATAGATGGATTTAAAATTGAATGAATAACTTTATGACTAATAAATGCAGTGCCAGTTCTTCATGCTAAGATAAAGGGGTAGTCAAAGTACATGTTTCAGAGCACAGGCCAAGTGCTGCAGGGGTTAGAAGTAGGGACGTTTCCCTTGTAAACACTGATATATAATTAGCCATTCAGAACACAAGAAACATTTCTACCTCTCTGCCAGAACTAGATACTGCCCCCTGCAGAAGTAGGGGTCCAGGAGAGGGGCTGCTGTGGGAGTTAAGTGTGGAAGGATCCTCAGTAAGGGGCCTGTGCTGAGCTTGCACAGCCATGAGCTACCAACAAGCAAGCAAAAAAAAAGTTGAGAGTGTTCTCCTGCCACCCTCAGTTACCTCCTCCACCACCTCAAACATTTTCATGCTGAGCTTGCATCCTCCTGACTAATATCAACGTTGAGCCACCACCTTCTTCATCAGCTGAGTATCCTGGTGGCCCCATTCTGCCCTCCTTTCTTCAGCAAAATATGTCTCTATTTCTGAGTGTCTGCTCATAGTTCCCATGCATTCTCCCATCTTGATAATCTGGACTGGATCATGAAGAAACATGAAGATCCTTGAACACTTTTCTTGGTGCAGGTGTTCACAGTTCAACAGCTTTGAGGGTCAAAGTAGGTAATGTAAATGTATGCAGAAGCCCAAGTATGAGAACATTTAACTTTTGGAAATAGAATCACACAGTCTTTATTTTTACTAAATTAGAACTAAATTAGAAGTGCATGGCATAATGTAAGCAGATATGATATTTGGGATTATATATTAAATTCAAAATAAAAAGATTAACTGAAAATTTTCAACTCCAATTCTTCTGATTTATAATTAGAAAACTAATATCTTTTTTCTATATAACATGTACTAGACTTTGAATTTCTCTTTAAAATAGACATACAGAATTTGGCCTTGAATCCTTTAAATGAGAAAATATTTTGTTTTATTTTAGCTCATAACGGCGAACACATGTTTTCAATATACGTAGTTTGCTTTTATGTTTAGAGTAACCACTTTCAAGACATTGAAGAAATCTAATCATATTTTGCTATCAGTATCATATTATAATGCTACTTGGTTTATTTGATAACTTCATTCATTCATTCTATCAGTATTAATTGGAAAAACAAAGTGAAAAACATTTGTTTATTTTTAAAAAGTTTGCAGTTAGAGAACTTTCTTTGGAATTAGGTCTTCAACTCTGCAACTGGGGAATTCCTGTACTTTCCAATTCTGAAAACTGAGTCTGGTTTAAAAAGTGTGGTAGATTATTTCTTGCCAAAGAAACAATTCTTTCTAAAAAGAAAATAATCAAAACATAAATTTTAAAAAAATTATAATCTCCCTTGCATTAAAAAAAAACCTAATAATTACTTTTCATGGTAGCATTACTTATTTGATTTGCTTCTAAAATAGAACACTATTGAAATTTCTGTTGTTTCTCTCAGCTCATTAAGTTCTCATCATGCATTATCTTTCTGTAGTTTGTTCATAATGATGACTTCAGTTGCATCCTTTTGACAAAGACATACTTTGCGTATTAAACATGTAAGAGTTGTCTCCAATTGTTTTCCTTGTAGAAATCTTTCACCTGCCTGGTTAAATTTATTCTTAGGTATTTTTTAAGTTACTGTAAATGAAGAGTGCCTTCTTGATTTCTCTGTCAGCTATTACATTATTGATAAACAGAAACACTACTGATTTTTGTATACTTACTTAGTTTCTTTGAAAACAACTTTGCTCTCTCCTACTTTTCTTGAATTATACTGTCTTTGCAGTCTCTTTGTCATTTTCCACTTTTGCTACAGACATGGAGTCACAGAATACAGAAAAATAACAGCACAACTATGATAAAAGTGGAAACTGATACGATCATTGTCACGCTCATAAGATGTGACTCTAGTAAATTGGAGAGAACATGCCATTCTAAAGAGAATGGCAATTACACAGTTCCAGCCAATTGCCACCTTGTAAGACTGAGGCCCAGTGTTGTGAGAACATCTGGATGATTCCAGAGAGTTAAAATACCCAGAATTTCTCCCAAGTTTTAAATGTAACCAACTAATTGAAATATTTTTTAATTGATACAAAATATTTGTGTATTTTTATGGGGCACATGTGACATTTTCTTACATGCACAGAATGTATAACAATCAAGTCAGGGCATTTAGAGAATCCATCACCTCAAGTAGTTATCATTTCTACATGTTGGGAACATTTCAAATTCTCTCTTCTAGCTATTTTGAAACATATGATACATTATTAACTATAGTCATCCTACTCTGATAATAAATATTCATTCTGTCTAACTGTTTCTATCCTTAACCAGCCTCTCCTCATGCGCTTCCCACACACTCTTCTCAGCCTCTGGTAGCTATCATTCTACTCTTTACCTCTATAAGATCAACTTTTTTAGCTCCAGTATATGAATGAGAATATGCAATCTTTGTCTTACTGTGCCTGGCTTATTTCACTTAACATAGTGATCCCTAGTTCTGTCCACATTGCTGCAAATTATAGAATTTCATCCTTTTTCTAGTCAAATAGTACTCCAGTGTGGGTATATACCACATTTTCTGTATTCATTATCTGATGTTAGACACTTAGGTTGATTCCATATCTTTGCTATTGTGAATTATACTGCAGTAAACATGAGGGTACAGATATCTCTTTGATATACTGATTTCCTTTCCTTTAGATAAATACCCAGTAATGGGATTGCTGGATTGTATGGTAGTTCTATTTTTAGTTTTTAAAGAAATTCCTATACTATATTCCATAGTGGTTGTACTAATTTACATTCCCACCAACAGTGTATAAAAGTTCTTTTTTCCCTCTACATCTTCATCAGCATCTGTTATTTTTTGTCTTTTTAATACTAATAGCCATTCAAACTAGGGTAAGATTAGATTAGTAATATTGAACTTTTTAATATACCTGTTGACATATATGTATGTCATACATCTATGAAGACATATATGTATGTCTTCTTTTGAGAAATATCTTTTCATGTATTTTGTCCACTTTTTAATGGGATTACATGCTTTCTTGCTGTTGAGTTGTTTTAGTTTGTTTTCTTTTTTGGGTATTAGTCCCTTGTCAGATGAATAGTTTGCAAATATTTGCTCCCATTCAACAGGTTGTCTTGTCACTCTGGTTATGATTTCTTTTGTTGTGCGAATCATTTTAGTGTATTATAGTCCCATCTGTCTACCTTAGGTTTTGTTTCCTGTGCTTTTGAGATCTTAGTCACAAAATCTTTGCATAGACCAATATCTTGAAGTATTGTTTTCTCCTAGTAATATTTTATTTTCAGGTGTTATGTTTAGGTCTTTAATACATTTTGAGTTGATTTTTTTATATGGTGAGAGATAGAGGTCTAGTTCATTCTTTTGCTTATGAGTATCCAGTTTTCCCAGCACTATTTATTGAAGAGGATGTCCTTTCTCCAGGGTATGTTCTTGGCACCTTTGTTGAAAATAGTTGGCTGTAAATAACTGGATTTGTTTCTGGGTTCTGTATGCTGTTCCATTGGTCTATGTGTCTGTTTTTAATACCAATACCATGCTAATTTGGTTACTATAGCCTTGTAACATATTTTGAAGTCAGTTAGTGTGACACCTCCAGGCTTGTTCTCTTTGTTCATAATTGCATTGGCTACTCGGGGTCTTTTTTGGTTCCATACAAATTTTAGGATTTTTTTTTCTTTCTGTGAAAAACGACATTGGTATTTTGATAAGAATTGTGTTGAATATGTAGATTGCCTTCAGTAGTATGGTCATTTTAATAATAATTCTTCTAATTCAAGAGCATGGGATGTCTTTCCATTTGTTTGTGTCATCTTCAATTTCTTTTCTCTTCTTTTCTTTAGAGACAGGGTCTCACTGTGTCATTCAGGCTCCAGTGCAGTGGTGTGATCATAGCTCATTGTAACCTCAAACTCCTGGGCTCAAGCAATTCTCCTGCCTTAACCTCCCAAGTGGCTAGGTCTATATAGACATGTGTCACCATACCCAACTTTTTTTTTTTTTTTTTTTAGAGAGAGAGAGGCTTTTGCTATGTTTTCTAGGCTGGTCTTGAACTCCTGGACTCAAGAGATCCTCCCACCTCAGCCTCCCAAAGTGTTGGGATTACATGCATGAGCAATCACACTCAGCTGTCTTCAATTCCTTTCATCAGTGTTTTGTTGTTTTCCTTGCAGAGATCTTTTACCCCCTTGGTTAAATTTATTTTTAGGTATTTTTAAACTATTGCAAATGAGATTGCCTTCTTGGTCTCTTTTTAGCTATTTCATTATTGATAAATAAAAATGCTACTGATTTTTGTATATTTATTTTGTTTCCTGCAAATTTATTTGATTTGATTATCAAGTCTAAGAGTTTTTTGGTGGAGTCTTCAGATTTTTCTAAGTAAAAGATCATGTCATCTGCAAAAAGAAACAGTTCGACTTCTTCTTTTCCAATTTGGATACCTTTTATTTCTTCTCTTGCCTGATTGCTCTGGTGAGGACTTCCAGTATATAAATATAAAACTCACTGGTAGAGGAAACACACAAACAAGGAAGAGAAAGGACTCATGTTACCACTACAGAAAGCCACCAAACTATGATGACAAGCAATAAAAGAGAAAGAAAGAAACTAAGGACATACAAAACAACAATGAACAAAACTACAGGAATAAGCCTTCACTTACCAATAATAACCTTGAATGTAAACAGATTAAATTATCCACTTATAAAATATAGACTGGCTGAATGGGTCCAAAAACATATGATCCAATTGTATGCTATCTACAAGATAGATACTCGTAAAGACACACATATATAGACATATCCCATCCATAAAGACACATATAGACTGAAAGCAAAGGAATTAAAAAAAAATTTCCACACAAATGGAAACCAAAAGTGAGCAGGAGTTGCTATGCTTATATCACATAAAAGAAACTTTATGTCAAAACAGTAAAAAAGAGACAAGGACGGTAGTGAGATAATGATAAAGGGGTAGATTCAGCAAGAGAGTATAACAATTCTAAATACATATGCACCCAACACTGAAGCACCCGGATGTATAAAGCAAACATTATCCAAAGGGAGAGGTAGACTTCAATGCAATAATAGTTGGGGACTTCAACCTCCATCAACACTAGACAGATATTCTACACAGAAAGTTAACAAATAAACATTGAATCTAAAGTGAACTTAAATTTCACTTTAGATCAAATAGACCTAACAGACACCTACAGAACATTTTATTCAACAACTACAGAATATACATTCTTCTTCTTGGCACATGAAACATTCTCCAGGTCATATGTTTGATCGCAAGATGAGTCCAACAATTTTTTTTAAAGATCAAATTTATACCAACTATCTTCTCAGACTACAGTGAATTAAAACTGGAAATTAATTTAAAAAAGGAACTTTGGAAACTGCAAATACACAGAAATTAGACAACATTCTCCTGAACCACCACTGGGTCAAGAAAAAAAAATTAAGAAGAATTTTTTTAAATTTTAGATTTTTTTTATTTCTCCAAATTTGTTATGTATCAGGAGTGACTGAAATAAAAAATATAATTGAGTCCCGTCATCATCACCATCATCATCATGGAAATGGCTTTAAGAGAAAACTGGTCAGATGAATATTATTGCTTCTCATTTTCAACGAATAAATAGTTGCCACTGATAAATTGACGGCCAGGAGTCTGTCAAGAATGCTCAACATATGTTATATAATACAACACACCCGTTCACGGCGGGGGGAAATCCTAGGAAATAACTTATGTGTGGTTCTTGATTTAATCATACAAGACAAGCACGAAAGCACCACCCATGCCTCTGAGAACACTGGACCATGCACCCTTGAGAAAAGCTTTGCCTCCTTCATCAGGAGCAACCTTCTTTAGTAGTCAAGCATGTCTGTGTACATGAAGTCAGTTCCTTTGTGCCCTGACTGCATCATCATGTGGGGGCAAACGGTGTCAAATGGATAGGAAGCCAACCCACCAAGGGCAGTGGCAGTCTGTGCGATCATCCAGCTGAGGACAATGTGAGTGTTCTTGGGATCCGGAAGCATTCCGTTTCTAGTGTCATAGATACCGAAGTAGGCAGCTCAGTAGATGGTAATACCCTGCACAGACACGTTAAAGCCTTGGTACAGGCCCTTAATCCCATTAGATTTGCATATCTTAACCAGGCAGTCACCAAGGCCTCGGAATTCCCTTTTGCTCCAGCTTCACCCACATCGGCTGCTAGACGGGTAGGGGCAAAATCAAGAGGGTACACAAAACACAAGGATGTGGCCCCAGCGGCACCGCCTGATGCTAGATTCCCTGCAAAGTAGTGTCAAAACTGGGTCCTCTTGTCCACCCCACCCAGGAAGATCTGCTTGTGTTTATCTTTGAAGGCCAAGTTGAGAGCCTGGATGTGGAAGTATCTGATGACATTGGCCAGGTTACTGCGCCAGAAGGACAGGACTCCCCTGCTCCTTGGGAATATGGACCACACAGTCTATAATGCCCTTGTATTACTTACCTGCGGTGATCTGTTTGCTGGCATGCTGCAGCAACAGCTTGACCTGGTCGATGGGTGCTATCGCCGTCTTGAAGATGGCTGCGACCACTCCACCTGCCAGGAAGTCCATGGCGAAGGACACAGTGGCATCTGTCACGTTGAAAGAAAAGAGGAGGCAGGCTGCTGCGGGACGGGACTGGGTGGGCAACCGGCTTTGACTCCGGGGCTGCGAGAGAAGAAAATTTTAAAAAATTGAAACGAATAAAAATGGAAACACAACAAGCCCAAACCTCTATGTTAAAAGGGAAGTTTATAGAAACAAACACCTACATCAAAAAAGTAGAAAGATTTCAAACAATCTAATGAAACACTTTAGGAACTAGGAAAGCAAGAACAAGCCAAACCCAAAATTAGTGGAATAAAAGAAATAACAAAGATCAGAGAAGAATTAAACAAAATATAGATGCAATAAACAATATAAAGGTCCAATGAAACAAAAAGTTGGTTGTTCAAAAAGAGAAATAAAACTGATAAACCACTAGCTAGACTAATAAGAAAAGAGAAGACCCAAATTTTAAAAATCAGAATGAAAAGGAGATACTAAAACTGATTCCACAAAAATACAAAAGATCATCAGAGATCTTTGACATGAACATATCATATGAACAACTATACGCTAACAAACTGGAAAATCTAGAGGAAATGAATAAATTCCTGGATATATGCAACCTACTAAGATGGAATCTGGAAGAAATAGAAAACCTGAACATACTAATAAGTAATGAGATTAAATCAGTAGTAAAAAGTCTTCCACGACAACAAAAAAGCCCCAGGACCAAACGACTTCACTGCTGAATTCTACCAAATGTATGAAGAAAAATTAACACCAATTTCCCCCAAAGTATTCCAAAAATTTCAAGAGGATGGAATTCTCCCTAACTCATTCTGTGAGGCTAGCATTACCTTGCTACCAAAACCAGACAAGGACACAATGACAAAAGAAAACTATAAACCAATATCCCTGATGAACATAGATGCAAATATCACCAACAGAATACTAGCAAACTGAATTCAGTAACATATCAAAAAGATAATACACCACAATCAAGTGAAATTTATCCCAAGGATATAAGGATGATTTAACACATGCAAATCAGTAAACATGAAACATCACTGGGACAGACTAAAGGATAAAAACAATATGATCATCTCAATAGACACAGAAAGAGCATTTGTTAGAATTCAGTGTCTCTTCATGATATAAAAAAAAAAACCCTCAACAAACTAGGCATAGAAGGAATATACCTCAGCATAATAAAGGTCATATATGATAAACCCACAGCTAACACCTTACTGAATGGGGAAAAGTCGAAAGCCTTTCCTCTAAGAACTGGCACAAGACAAAGCTGCCCCTTTTCACCCCATTCCTATCCAGCTGATCCTGGCCAAGCTGGGTTCCTTCAAAATTTTAAAAATACAATACATATCACTACACACCTGCTATAATGGCTATAATTCAAAAGACAAATAAGTTTTGGTAAGGATGTGGAGAAACTGGAACCCTGATAACATTGCTTGTAGGAATAGAAAATAGTACAATCACTTTGGAAAACAACTTGGCAGTTTCTTAAAAAGTGAAACTTAACACACAATTCAACAATTCTACTCTTAGGAATTTACCCAAGAGAAAGAAAACATACATCCGCACAAAGACATTTAGATAAAAGTTCATGACAGTATTATTCATAATAGCCCCAAACTGAAAAAAACTCAACTGTCTATCAATTGGTGAATTAATAAACAAAATGTAGAATATTCATATAATGGAACATTACTCAGCCATAAAAAGAATTACATTCTAATATATGCCATAGAATGAATGATCTGTGAGTCATTATGCTCATTGAGAGAAGCCAAATTCAAAAGAGTATATATTGTATGTCTCCATTTATATGAAATGTCCAGAATGGACAAACCTATTAAAACAGAAAATTAGATAAGTAGTTACTTATTACCTCAGAGGGTGGGGAAACTTAAGGAAAATGGGAAATAACTGCTAATGCATAAGCAATTTCTTTTGGGGATGATAAATATGCTCTAAAATGGATTGTGGAGATTGCTGCGTAACTCTCTGAACATACTGAAAGCCATTAAACTGTATATTGCAAATAGATCAACACTATGGTACGTGAATCATATCTCAATAAAGCTGTTTTTATTCAAAAATGAAAAATGCAGTAGAAAATGGGAAGCTAAGCTTTAGGACAGCTAACAAGAAGAAACAGAACAGAATGGGAAGAGGGTCAGGAGTGAGACAAGGAAGCTGAGCATTATATGTTGGAGTCTGGTGAGCAGACGGAAGGTCTGGAGTTGGTGGGGTGAATGACTGAGGGGTTCATTCCTGACTCTACCCAGAGCTGAGTGCTTAATGAATATTAGAAGATAATGCTCGATAGCATCATTAGGGGGCAGAAGAACAGCGTCAATACCTGCAACCAGCTGTGACTAACCAGTACCTGCCTGGGTTTTCTGGATTTATATGATCACATAGAGAGAGGGAGGGATCCCTAATGATCAGGCCCATTAATTGTCCCATTATTGATGAGAGTGGGATCTCAGTGTGGATTAAATTTGATCCAGATAAATACTGCAAGAAAACTGCCTGAAGTGGGCATGATGATTATCTCATTGATATTCATTCTCTTTCTTCCCCATTGTGTAGTGACCCTGAAGTTTGGGGAGACTGATCTTCAAGGACATGCCTTGAATAGTATCAGTTACTCAAAGTAAACCCATCTCCTTTGCCACAGTACAGAACTACATCCCATAAAATGTTCTGCTTTTTGCTATAATGGTTCTTGAAAAGTCATATCATTTTCAGACAATTCATTGTTTTCTATGTAAGGCTTTTCCTTTTTACCCCAAAACACACTAAATGAAAAATAGAAGTAGTAGGAATAATAAATAATTAAAATAATAAATATTATTTTTGACATTGACATATTCAATTTACTCAGACATGTTCAATTTACTCAACACAACATTTTCTAGTCAGACAATTTCATATGAATCTAATTTGAATTTTGAGCAATGTCTAGAAAAACACAAAAAATTGACTTTGCTTATGCATGCCAAATAAAAGGGATAAAAGATTTGCAGCTTCCACAATGCTTAGTATGTTGTGAACCTATACTATTTCCACATGTTTCAAAGCTTTCATTTTCTTAGTTTTGATTTTATCCCAAAACTAATTTTGCATGCTGCGATTTTTCAGTGTAGTTTAAGAGCAAGATCACCAAAGTCCCAAAAGGTTTAACAAGAGATGAAGAAAACGGCACAAAAATAAGACAAAGAATAAATCAGTAAACCCTTAGAATATTCTATTTTAAGCCAAACTTGAATTTTTGTTTTCAAATTACTGGATTTTTAAAAATTGTGTAAACTTATTTGAACTGTTATATAAAATTATCAAGTACCTTGATTTGGGACTAAATGCATCACAATTTTTCTTTTAAAATGAAAAAATATTTTTTGCACTTAGCAACAGAGGTTTCAGGAAGGAATTAGATATTAAACAAGGAATATGTTTTAAGCAATTCAGGAGTAAGTTAATCAAAGCATGACATTTCTCTTATAGGATTTGGTTCAGTGGTTGCCCATTGGGAACCATATGAGTCAGAAAATTCATATGATGGTTAGAGAAGGGTTCCTTCTCTTCATAATTGTGGATTTAAAGTATCCAGTTCTGTGGGTACTGGTACCATTTTGTGACCATGTCAGGGAGATAGATTGCTTTGGATTGAGGCCTACATGACAGGCAGAATGAAGAGGCAGAAAGAATCTATGGCTTTGAGGATGTGATTTAGCTGCCAAATTAAACTAAACAGAAAAATCATATTTCTTGAGTTTCCAGTTATGTCTCTGCTGCTTACAGTTTGTTACAGCAAACTGATCTGGGTGTTTTTTTAATACATTTCAACCAAAAGTGTCATAAAATGGGTTTTTAGTTTCCAAAAGTATGGCAGAATACATGTGCAGAGAAATCCTTCCAGGAGTAAGAAAAATAATATTAAGCAAATACTTAAATTTTTTTTTTTTTTTTTGAACATTGCTGAACTGGAAGTAAAGAAATGGAACTAGAGGAAACAAACAATGAGACAATATGATTCCATGAGGATTAGCTGAGCCCTAGAGCTTGCATTATCCTTGAGAATATCTGCCAATTATTATAGCCTGAAGTCTGGGTTTTAATTGGCAAACGTTTGAAGAACAGAAGCCTAACCAGGTGCCAGAGTAGAGTAGAGAAAGTAGGATCAGAGATACCTGCATGAAACCAGGACCACTCACAGTGTGACACTCACAGTGGGTAAACAAGAGACGAATGTGACCCACAGCAGGGAAGATATTCCTTCTCTTTGCATGGAGCAGAAATAAAGAAAATAAGTTCCCCCTGAGAAGTCTTAACCACAAGCCATATTCCCATCATTTTGCCACTGAAATTGATATTGCCTAAAAAAATTTAAACTAGATATTGAGTTTGAAAGTTGGTAATGCCGCAGGTACTATTGTTATGAAGAAATGTATTTTATTTGCAGGCCTCAAATAAAATATTATGAACTCACAATAAAAATGATTAATACACATGCAAAGAAGCCACCATGAATAAAAAATTTAGCATAAATAACAATTCTAGAAGCATCTGTACATTAATAAAAATAAAACCCTTCAAAACTTTTGGAACATAGCCAGTAGTCTTTATAGGGAAACTTAAAGCCTAAAATTCTTGTATTAGGAAAAAAATCAAAACATGATTACCTAAGCATTTATCTTAAGATGTTAGAAAAAGAAGAGCAAAAGTCAGTCTTTCTTCACTTCACTCGATGATGATACATGCTGAGAAATGCATTGCTAGGCAATTTTGTCATTGTGCAACCATCATAGGGTGTACTTACATAAGCCTTGATGATAAAGCACACACACACCTAGGCTATATGGAATAGCCTATTGCTCAGAGGCTACAACCTGTACAGCATGTTACTGTACTCAATGTTGTAGGCAATCATACTGCAATGGTATTTGTATATCTATACATATCTAAATACAGAAAAGACACAGTAAAAATACTGTATAAAAGATTTCATTTATTTTTTTCTTTTTATTATTATTATTATTTTTATTATATTTTATATTTTAGGGTACACATGCATAATGTGCAGGTTTGTTACA